ATTCACCCTTTGTTTTGTTATTTTGGGGATGATGTCTATTACATCAGACCAGAACTGATTTATTTTGGGACATTCTAATCACATATGTTTGTAAGTCCCTTTAGTGCACCACCCTCTCTAACACTTGGATGGGGAGGGTTTTGTGATCCTACCTAATTGCACAGGACTGAATCATCATTTGTGGGTTATTTTTAAAATATTCTCCTTTATGAGGATTGATCTGGATTTGAGGGTGTGTGTGTGAACTCCATATTTTCAACCAGAATTTCCTTTTTCAGTTCCACCTTTCACCCCACCTTATGGTTAATACCTCTACCAAACTTACTGAATTGGGAAAGAATTGGTTTAGTTTGGTTTAGTTCTTTTGCTTAATCTTAAGGTTGGTCTCACTCATGCACTGAACCACTTGGCTAACATGCGTACATAATTCTCACAGATTTCAAAGGAGGCCCTGGGGAAGGAATCTACCCTTCTCTTCTCCATTTATCTATGTCTGTGTCAATGTCTATACAGCAAGCATGGTGTAGTGGTTTGAGCATTGTACTATGACTCTGGAGAGGAGAGTTTGAGTCCCCACTTGGCCATGGAAACCCACTGGTTGACCTTTGGCAAGTCACACTCTCTCAGCCTCAGGGGATGGCAATAGAAAACCCACTCTGAAGAAATTTGTCAAGAAAACCCCATGATTGGACTAAGGCCGTGGGGACCAGGGTTCCTATCCTGGCTGTACCATAACCTTCCCTGGGTGATCTTGGGCAAGTCACAAGCTCTCAGCCCCAGGGGAAGACATTGGCAAACCTCCTCTGAAGAAATCTTGCATATAGCCTTAGGGTCACTATATGTCTGAAATGACTTGAAGGAATACAACAACAGCAAATATCTATCTATATTTGGCTGTTATAATGCACTAAAAACAATGATGTTACCTGCTAACATACTGCTTTGGAGGATAATGAGAGCACAGTAACACTATTTTTGTAAATAGCATAATGAACTGTAATGAAGTTATTCCCACCTTCAGTCCTTCCATAACATATGCTTGTTACACCAAAACAATAGAGCAGATTTATTGCAGATTTTTTTATTTTTGAAAATAATAATAAAAAGTTTTACAATGGTAATATGCTATAAAAATAAGTAAAATAATATGTCCTAACAAGTTGCCTGATTTTTTTAAAAAGGGTAACATTAATACACTACCTTTTAAAATGATGGTCCTAGCTCTGAAGTCTGTAGTGTGACATATGCATACTTAGAGTTATTTTTTTAAATATTTATTGATTAAAATTACAAGACAATACATCTAAAACCTTTCATACATATACATACACACTTATTTATACTTACTTAATTTACTTAATTTTAACAATTGTAACATCTATAATACATATAATCATTTTTCTTTATTCCTTTAATCTTTTAAAGAATAAATTTCTCATGAAAGGGGGTAAAAGGGGAAAAAACCCCACTAAATTCTTTCTTTCTTTGTCCATTCTTCTTCCTTATTCTCATTTGTTTCCTTCTCTATCTAACTTTCCCCTCACTCTCAATTCCCTTTCTTTCCATTCTTCTCTCTTTCCTTAACTATTCATCCTATTACTTCTCTATCCTTTATTCCTTCTTAATTTCCTTTATCAACATCCTCCCTCCTCACTCATTCTATCCTTCACCTATACTACTTACTCTTACCTTCTTCAACTTACTTATCCTTCTTCAACTTTCTTAACCTTCTAATTATATCTCATCTTATTTTCCCCTTCATTCATTCTTTCAATCTTTCACTCCCTCTCTGACCTCCTACTTATTTTCATTGGGTTAATGGAGAAAATGTTATTTGCCCTTCTTTATCCTAAACTCCCTCCTTATATAGTGTTCTTTATATTGCAGCTCAACTAGTTTTGAACTATTTATGTTTCCCTATCTTCTATAATATCTTATTCATAAATATAAATTTTCTCTAAATATTGTATCTTTGTACCATATAATCCTATTACATATTTCTTGAAAATTAGCAATAAAGTTATCATTTATATTGTTAGTGATTTTGTCTAAATGTTTGCTTTTTTTAAAAGTAATGCATAACTTCTTATTCATTCTATAAATTTAAACTACGATCTGAACCATATCTAAAATTATGTTGATTAAATCTATGTTCCTGTAGTTTAGAAAGCTATTATTCCCAAATTCCCCCATTTGTTTTTTATATAATTTAATATTGGTGTACATTCTTCATTGGCATTTTCAATCAGATTATTTTTTTAAATAAGTGGTAAGTCTGTCCATTTCGATTATATCATATAATTTCAATATCCATTCTCTAATGCTTGGTACATATTTTGATTTCCATTTTTGAACCAAAACTATTCTAGCTGTAGTAGTTAGATATAAAAGATTTTTCCCATAATCTTTATCCCACTCTCTTTCCCACATATTCAATAAAAAGATCTCAGGTTGCATCTGAATTTTCATCTTTAACATAGAATTAATTATTTCATTCACCTTCTTCCAGTAATCTTTCACTATTTTACAAGACCATAAACAGTGATATAAAGAACCTGGTTCACTCTCACATTTCCAACAGATGTTATTTGCGTTCTTGTAGATTTTAGATATTTGTATTGGTGTTAGATACCATCTATAAAATGTTTTATAAAAGTTTTCTTTAATATTTTGGGAAGCTGTGTAATTTAATCTCTTTCCCCAAGCCAATTCCCACATTTCTAATTGTATTGAATGTCCAAGGTCTTTCGTCCAACAAATCATATTCTCTTTTATTGTATCTTCTTCTACTTAGAGTTATTAACACACACAAGTGATGGTGACATAACTAGAATATAAACAGTGGGTGTTTGGCAGACTGTCTCACTTCATAGAGTTGGAAATGTTGTGGATCTTGACCTTTAGAACAGGCTTAGGCACTAAATAGATATATTACATATATGCAATTACTAATTGAGCCAGCATGGTGTAGTGGTTTGAGTGCTGGATGAAGATGCTGGAGATTAGGGTTCAAATCCCTGCTCAGACATTGAAATCCTCTAAGTGACCTTGGTCAAGTCATACGCTGTCAGCCTTAGTGGAAGCTATTACCAAACTTCCTCTGACTAAAATCTGATCAAGAAAACCATATGATAGTGTCACCATAAATCTGAGTCATTTTGAAGGCCTACAACAACATTATTATTATTATTATTATTATTAGTAGTAGTAGTAGTAATAGTAGTAAATTCCTAGACTTCAAGTGAGGATAATCCCACAGTTTATGAAAGTTTCCTCTAGGGCAGTGGTTCCCAACATTTCCAGATGTTTTGGACTTCAACTCCCATGATTCATGACTGTTGACCAAGTTGGCTAGGACTTCTGGGATTTGAAGTCCAAAACAAATGGAGGACCAAACTTTGGGGAACACTGCTCTCGGGTATTCATGGGAATATAATTTTTATAAGGGAATATATGTAAAATCTAAGTGTGAATTATACTTCTCCTTACTTAATGGTTCCATTTTCTCCCATTTTCAGCCTGTGCTTGCTTTATTTTCTGGAATTATGGGATATAGGTAATTAATAATGAAGCAGTTATACAGATTTTTAAAAAGGATAGCTATTCTGAATAAAACTGTAAAATTGTATTCTCCTTAATAGGTATCTCTAGCACTACAGTAGTTTAGTTAATTTTCTCTGCTTCTAAGAAATGAATTGTATAATTACAATAAAATGAATTATACAGGATCTCAATACAGTTAACATGATTTGATAGAAATCATGGAATCTTAAGAAAGAACTATAGACATTGCATTTATTCTCTGTACATTTGTGCTTAAACATATTAGAAATCAAATTTTAAAAGAAATGAGAACTACTGTAAGCATAAGATGTTGCTTAGTGCTTTGCTGTTTATGAGTAGTTATAAATGTTATATTATTGCATAAAATAATGTTTTGTTATTATGTAAATAATAGATGAGAGCCTTCATTGTAGCCCCGCTTCTTGCCCCAAATAGGATCAAAGTGACTTTTTTGTCTCATGCAGTTATTTTTTAAGTCTGTAATATGCTACAGTAATGTGAATTTCTTTCTAAAGGTATTTAGATGTAAATATTTATCATCAGGAGTGGCAATTCAGGCACATCCTAATGTAGGATTGCAACTCCTATTATCCATCACCATTGGCTTTGCTAGATAGAGCTGATAGGACTTGCAGTCCAGCATCTCCTCCTTAATCTTTATGTTTCATATCCAAGCGTGAAGTTCTAAGTGGTTTCCTGGGAGCAACCATCCTTGCACACAGTGAGGCTTATTTCTGGATAAACATATAAGAAGATGATGCTGTGAATGTATATGGTTCACTGAGTATTGTTTAAGCCAGGGGTAGGCAACCTTTTTGAGCTGGGGGCCGGGTTGCTGTCCCTCAGACAATTGGGGGGGCCGAAGCACCATAAATAAATAAATAAATAAATAAACAAATAAATATAAAAATTAAAAAAATTAAAAATTAAAAAAATATGCATGCACACTCTCTCAGCTCCAGAAAAGCCATGGCAAAACGCCTGTGGAGATTTTGCCAAGAAAACCCAAGAACAAGTAATAACAACAATAATCAATATCATCATGGCGGGCGGCAGTGGTGGCAGGCGGTGGCGGCGGTGGCAGGACCAACCTGGGGCCGATCCAAAGGCCTCAGGGGGCCGCATCCGGCTCCTGGGCCTTAGGTTGCTTACCCCTGGTTTAAGCTGTAGTAAAAAGTTAGAAAAGAAGAACATTTTTGGCTCAGGAGTATGTAAGAACATCCAAGAAAACAAATGATCAGGTCTGTAAATTAGATGAAATAAGCAGAGCTTGATAAAGTTACTTTTTTGTATTGCAGTCCCAAAATCATGCAGGTGGGTGGGAAACTGTAAAAATTGTGAACCTCTTTTTTTTCAAGCTCTGGAAATAAGTTTATTAAAAAAAGAGACACTCAATATTGCTATAATATGTCCAAGGCTACTAGTGAAATTAGAGAGCCAGTGTGGCATAATGGTTTGAGCATTTGACTATCACTGTGAAGACCAGGGATCGATTCCCAGCCCAGCCATGAAACCCACTGGGTGATCTTGGGCAAGTCACACTCTCTCAGCCTTAGGGGAAGGCCATGGCAAAGCTCCTCTGAACAAATCTGGGCAAGAAAATCCCAGTCGCCCTTAGTCGGAAACCTAAATCAGAAATGACTTGAAGGCACACAACACATATTAGTGAAACTAGAACCTAACCTAAAGCTTTTGGAGAAAGAGAAGAGAAGGAAAGGAAGAGAAGAGAAGGAAACATGGGAACATACTGTTTCCTAAAACTGCTATCCTGTGCATGTTTACCCAGAAGCTACCGTATTTTGTTGAATTGAACTTACCTAAAGGTGATGGTGAACAGGAACCAGTG